CCACCTTTATTCTTTTCTTTACAATAAGGCTTTCAAATAAGTCATGGTTGTACGGCAGTGAAGCATCGGTGTTGAACACTGATGTCATGCTGTCGATGATGATGATGATGATGTACTGATGACGTCAAGCATAACCGTCCTCCATGTGATGATGTACTGATGACGTCAAGCATAACCCGTCCTCCATAAAATTTCATGGCTTCTGTTGGTTGGTCAGGTGGTAGTTGATCTGAGAAATGATAAATTTGCCAGAAATTCACTGAAACAGTGGTATTGTTTTTCTACACTGGGCAGATCAACTGGTTTTCAATGCAATGCGTTCAGCTGTAGCAGCCTTCGGTGCCTAGCCTACCCGATGGTTGCATGAGGACTGGGATACTGCCAGGTTGCCCAGGGGTTGCCTAGACAGGGGAAGTCGAGAGGCGGAGGTCGGATTCGAACCACGGACCTTCCGGTCAGTAATTCGCGCTCTTAGCAATTGGGCCATCTCGCAGGTTTGGCAGCTTGGCACACAATCACCCAACTTCCTTCGGGGTTACTTGCTCTTTCATACTTGTAAACAACCAAGATGGTGGGTTCAGTGAATAGTGGGTCCTCGCCCAATCTCCTCCAGTGAGCAGCTATCGACCCCACCTCCACAAATCATCGGTTAACGAAAATGTGGCAGCTATAACCGCTGTACGGCAAATACGCGGTTTTTACAGCTGATGGCTTTACCTTCAAGAACGCTATCCCAACAAAATTCAGGCTACCATGTAATTTTTATCCATCGTTAGTGACCAGGTTCAGACTAAAGAATACTCCATTAAGCTACCCAAACAGTCGAAAACCAAACTACGCCATCTGCCAGTGTCAAGTCAGTGTCCGGAGGCCAGCCGTCTCTAATAACCAAACATCACATCATTTGGACGGATGTGTCACCTGCAGGACACAGACCAAACGAAGGCATGCCCTGATTGGTCAGAATGTCAGCAAATCCGAGTCCAGCATCTTTAACTCGACGCTTCTCGTGCCCTCACGGAGATTCTGGCAAGACCTTGTGGATCATTCTGTGACTACCCTATAAATACAGTCGTAATAATTTTCCTTGGTCTCCATAAAGGGCTGTGTAGAGCTACGGTGGGCAGAGCAGGAGGGCGAGGGGCCGGTACAGAGTTGCACTACCGTTCAGCAAGACACAGCAGTCAACTAATCTTAGCGCACAAAATGTCTCCAGATAACAGGGCAATCATTCATATCGGTGTACTTTAATCGAATATGGCTATCGGAATTCACGAGAGAGCGTATTTGGCGAACTAACCTGAACCTCTTCACCATTTAAAGTCCACAGTGTTGCGACGTTTGAATGAGATATTCCCAAAACGACTTCATCTGAAAGAGGAAGAAAGTTATCAGTTTCAAGCAGAACATAAGGTTGACGGAAACTCGGGGACTGCGCCTAATTGATGAGCCCCAAGAAGGGCGAAACCGGTCGTGGGCTGTCGACGAATTTTCAGCAACCTTATGAGTAGTGCACTACAAATTTATCAGTTCTTTTGGAGTAGGATCCTGTATGTGCAAAAGAACTGGGTGACGAAAGCAACTTATAAATATAAAGCTGATCTGATTAATATTTTGTAAATCGATCAAATTTGTTGCCAGCCTCCTGAAAACTGGGAGCGAAACGTTTTCAACCAGTTGTCAGGCTCAGCGAACAACGATGTAGGAAAGTATTTATTAAAACGTTGCTTGCTTCCATGCGTTCCAGAGACGCACAGACATAAGAACGGTGGTCACATCAAATCGACCATATTCTTCTTCATCAAACTTTTATTAATTTGCAGCGGTTCACAGCAGAAAGTGGGATTGTGTATGTGCTTCAAACTGATGTTAGACAAACCTGAGGGCTTTGAATAGGAACAAAACCATAAATAATGAAAACGGGATAGAAACCGGAAGCGGAGGTAAAAAAAACTGTGACCTCGAGAAATACACTCATTTGCAAATCAATTTGGTTTTCACGAGAGACTCAACTGAATCTCTCGTTTATGATATTCTACAACTGAAGGTGCTGCACACAGGCCGCCTCATGTTTCAGTTGGCACGATATTCGAGATATCGCAGTATATTTTCATGAAGGAAGCTACTCACAAGGTTGATGAAAACTCTTCGACAGCCTACGACCGGTTTCGCCCTTCTTGGGGCTCATCAGGTAGGCGCAGTCCCCGAGTTTCCATCAACCTTATGTTCTACTTGAACCCAAATTGGACTGTTTTCGAGGAATACACTCATTTGCAGATCAATTTGGTTTTAACGAGAGACTCGGGGACTGCGCCTACCTGATGAGCCCCAAGAAGGGCGAAACCGGTCGTGAGCTGTCGAAGAGGTTTCAGCAACCTTGCGAGTAGTTTCCTTCATGAAAACAAACTGTGACCTCTCATTTGCCGGATGAACGCGTCACTATAGAACCACTACGGACGCCGCTACACCTTAAACAAATGAAGTTGGTCGGATAGTAGGTTCGCGATGATCTCGTAAGACATCAGCAACCGAAGGCAGTGCTCCGGTGACTTTCGCAAGAGACAGTAGGCCAGTATCATCCAAACCACCAAGTCGCATTGATTTGATAGGACAAAGAAGATATAGCGATCAAATAAATGTTGAATGAGAACCAGTATACAGATAATGGACAGCTCTGAATAGGTCCAAACGACGCCAACTACGCCACTCACATACAAGTTCTGGGAAAATGCGCGCAATAACATAAGCACTAAACAAAAAGCAAGAAAATATCCGCTGAAAAACAATTGCTAGACCGACTGATCTTAATGCTGCGACAACCAATTACAACCAATCATACGACGCGGATCAGCTGCGTTTGATGGTCATGTGGGTAGGTACAAATGCATGTGTACTTTTTAACCCCCAGGGTACTCTAAAAGAATGTGATTAGTAAACCATGTGGAGTGTGATCAAACGATCACCACAAGCCCTGTATCCCAGCACTTCTCGAACGACTCAGTTGCTTTGTTCAGCCTAGAAGATTAAGATACCTCAGTATTACCACGGGTTCTCAAAAAAGGTGATCGGACGGTGTGTGATAATCGTCGTGGAGTCAGTTTTATTGCGTCCCTTCTGCTACGATGGGATGCACGCCCAGAGGCAAACCGATGAGGTTCCAAACCCGGAAGAGGTTGTGTGAACCAAATATTTATTCTCCTTGCGACGTACACTATGATATCGCTTCAAATTCACACAGCCTACCACAGCACGCTTCATCGAATTTCGTGATGCTTTTGGTTCGATTAATCGTGAGTCACTGTGGAAAGTCCTCTTTGCTGACAATGTCCCCGCGAAGCTGATCAGCCCAACTAAGGAAAATTACTCACTAGTGAAAACTTGGGTGTGAGTATACGGTGAGGAGACCACAGAGTTCGACATTGGGTCTGGTATACGACAAGACTGCCCATTGTAGCCGGTGCTCTTTAATTTCACAGTTGACTGGTTGCTCGAACGAGCAATGAAGAAGTCCAGTAAGACCCCCAAACCTGGATAGGTGACCTCGAATACGCGGATGGTATCATTCTGCTGGGTGATGAGTTGTAAAAATTCAAAGTGTGTTGAATAATCGGACTCAATACGCAGTACTAATAAGGTTGGAACCCAGTACGTCGAAGAACAATTTCTCTATCTAAATGGACCTGCCTATCCAGGCTCAGTCCAGCTCACCACCATCTTACTCAACGGAAAAGCTGAAACGCCCAGAAAGCCGTCACGTAGCTGAACTCATCTTGTGAAAATAAACTGAAATTAGTTTACGTAAGAAAATTTGGGTCTTCAATGCAACCACCGGGCCGGTCCCTACGAGCAAATGTCAGAAAGCCAGAGGGTTTTGACGACTGATGTGCCCGACGCATAGTGAGGGTTCGCTATCTAGAGATATCCAACCATTATATCCGAAAACCTCATCATCACCTATGACGCCCAACTCAACTCTTCTAACGACGCTGTCTGCAGTGTTGCCCGGAAATGATGCTGAAAGCGTCGAACAACCCCAGTCCCCACACCACGTCAAGGACGGCGGTGTCGTCTCAGCTGAGTACGGTTAACGACAAGATGGAGCAGCTCAGTTTCCATGTGGTCTAGGGAGTCCGACACTGGACTGCGACTGTCAGCCGATCGCCTCGCCTGGGCAGCGTGTATCCTAAATATTTCTGGGGCCCACTAACTCCGTCTCAGGAGATAGTCACCCGAAAGTAAAAGTAGGTCGTGTTAAAAGAGGTCGTGTTAAAGAGGATGCCAAAACAAAGTTAAAAAATACGCTATGAAACACAATTTTGTTCCTAGAAGAGCTTATGTTGGTCTGAAGAATGAACCTTGCACGGACCTTCAGCAACCCATATCTAACTCCCATCGCAAAAAAAGTTCCAAAAGCGTATTTCCTATGGCATTGCAAGTTTCGTTGCCTGAAATTTAATTTTGCTCTTGAAGTCGGAAATGATCAAATTTTTGAAGAAATACTCGCGAAGAATCACAAAACCACATCGTGCGGTTTCGACAGACAGCACATTTTTGACCGATTCTTCGAGATTAGATGACAACACACACACAAAGCATTGGATAGCTTGAACTATTCTATCACTACATTTTACATGAATCAATGTACAGAGTATAATAAATAAATGTAATAATGATAGCACGAACTAAAATATTTGACTGCTCCCGCAGGAGAACCCGGAGAGACTTGATGGACACCAGTCTACCGGAAGCAAACCGAAGCAAACTCACGTCGTTTGTTTGAGTGTGTGAAAACTACAAAATCGGAAATCCAGTCCGGGTGAGCTTGCGAGGCAAGGTTGAACAAAACTGACAGGGATACCGCATGGAGGACGACTATGTGTGGATATCGGCCACAACAGAACAGAAGGCGATGGTTCAGGAACGGCGCGTCGTGAGACTATGTGTATAAAAAGAATAACAGAAAGGGAGGTAGGATCAGTTGCTCAGGTAGGCAAATGGATATCAACAAAAAATAAATTCAAGTCAATCTCAAACATGGACACAAATGACAAAGGAAAATCGATGCCTGTCTATCGTCTGAAGCTTTGACTGACGCGGTTGACTGGGTCCACAGAAAACGACAGCCAGAAGGAGCGAGTGTACTATTTTCGAGGAAACAGTGAGCACATAACTAGTCGAAGCATGAAGGTGAGTAAACGCCATAAGCACCTGAACTGAACACCTGTCCAAAATATATACATTGAATCCAAGCGAAACGATTATCTAGATGCCGATTTAATCATCTCCGTCTTGCTATGGCATCAGAGACACGTCACCACAGGTTAGGTAATTCTTTGCCATTTGTGATAGTTTGCTGAAAACATACTGCTACCAACGGAGGTAGGATCAACACCGGGGCCCCTAATCCTTGCCGGAGTTGAGTGCAAAAAAGGCTAAACGGATGTCTACAAATGTGACGATGTGAAAGGAAAAAAGATGTAGTGGACAGAACATACAGAAACAAACTAGTCACCCAAACCATATGTGAGTTGGTTCCTTTTTACCTGACGGCGGTTGACCTGTTCGCTTGCAAATCAGTTATCAAGGTCGTGGGCTAGCCAACCAAAAAAGGAAATCAGCGTACCCGAGCTGTCAAGACTTGGACGATGACAGACCCGTGTGTACTGAAACAGTCAGATACAAACCAACGACGAGCTACGCTGGTTGATTTCCGGGTCGACCGACTCCAGCTTGCGATTGTAGGCACATGAATCGAATATGAATCGTTCAGCTGTAGCACCCTTTCGGTACCTAACTGCCATGCCACCCGAAGGTTGCACGAGGGCTGGGATACTGCCAGGTTGCCCAAAACTAGACAGGGGAGGTCGAGAGGCAGAGGTCGGGTTCGAACCACGAATCTTCTGGTCAGTAAATTCGCCTACTGTTTGACACAATGAGCCATTGACAAATACAGATTAACCAATATCTACTAAATGCAGATTCTGTTCCGTTCTGTTCGTTGGCTATAAGAACGCATTGTTTTCTGAAGATACAGTTTTGGCCACCGGAAAATGGGACAATGGAGGAGATTTAGCCAGGCAATAGAGGTACGAGGCACCACCGAGTCGGTCTAGTTATCAGAAGAAACGAGAAACTGGGTGGCTACGCATTGAAAGCGATAGATTTGATGCATGAGCGTTATTGACCAAGTGACTGAGCCATGTCTGATGGTGTCACTAACCATTAGTAAGTTGAGTCCCGGGGTTCCCATACAAGGAGGCAGCAAATGTCGACCAGACGCAGTCTACTGGTTAGCGATTTCATACTTCGTTGCCAGGTCATAGACTGTCCACCACTTGGTCGCTTCTATTCAGCACACGGATAGACGGGTAAGGTTCTTTGTCCCTAAAACTAGCTGGCATACCACGGCATTGATAGTCAGATATTCCGTCCAGAACCGGCCAATGTTTCCGGGACACCAATGATCAAACACCGAAAGCCGTCATGCATCTTCAGCGCACAGGGCCGCGTTCCACACCCACAAAGCAGTATGGATCGCACTGTCACATTATATACTCTGCGGTTAAATAAATTGACGTCACGCCAGTGAAGCATAACCTGGGAAGGCATGTTGCTCTTCATCGGGCTGCTCCGCTTTGGCCTTCTTGGCATGGGCTGTGTTGTACAGCTACCAGACTTCATTACATCAGGCGGAGGATTAGACAGATCTTCAGGTCTTTGACCACCGAGTTCTCAAAACCATAATTCACACTGGTTGGAACCGGAGAATTTGGAATGAGGTTGTCGGTGGATGGGTTTCCGATTAAGCAAAGTGTTTTTCACTCAAAAGATGCATCCAGCACTGTAAGCTTAAGTGGCTGAACTATGTGTTACGCATGCCTCGACTAGCGCCCTCTCCCGTGTCTAATTCGGCGTAGTGAAAACTAAGAGATGGACACAATTTGAAGCGGCAGAAAGAAATGAAGGATGTGACGAAAAGTTTGGATGCTTTTGCCATCCGCTTTCCGGGATGGGGTCCCTGGAAGGGAGGATCCCTGACTCTCCCTATGCTTGGCTGAGGACACCGAACGATACGGCGGCCCACCGATGTTATAGGCGTTCATGCTGTCAGCTCGTATGCAGACTTTTGGACTAAGTGTTAGAGATATGGGCACCTCGGACATTTGTGGTACGCTAGCCCTAGTTTCACCTTCCAGTCATATTTCTTTCTCCTTTCAGTTAGAAGACTTTATTCAAGTAAATTAACATGATTGTGTGGCGCTGAATCAGCAGTGTTCTCACCCGGTGTTGCTGAATATGATAATGGTAATGCTATCACACGAACAACCTGTCACGATTGTTGTTTACTTATTACCATAATCACCCTACGTACTTGCACCGAATCTTTGTATGTACATTTCAGCTCATACACGCTTGTTCTCAGACAAGTAAACCGTCCTAGATAACTGGAAATCTCTTCTAACTCGTTCTCGGACGCATTCTAAACGCCTCACAACACACGGGAATAGCAGAAGAAGAAACGTTGGAGTGAATAAAACGGCCTTCCTTTTTACACCTAATTCTTGAACCATCGAATCCTTTACCAAATGTGTACCAGGAAAACTCCTGCGGCAATCGATTTGCAATACAATTTCATCTAAAAGTAAGAGGTCAGAAGCCACTTAAGCATTATTTCCATGGAGCGACTTTTTTTGAACGGTGTGTTTTCCGGATGAATTCAGTGGCGTCCGACCTAACGATCAGGCCAGAAAAACTCTGTCACTCGAGGGTATTTGAGACCTCATGATCCCTAAGGGTCGTATAAATAGTCTGTTCTAAAACTACAACGAATGAACTTGACTTACCACAAGATGCAGCGTCTGTGCAAAGGAATTTAGCTAAACTAATGATCAAATTTGGAAGCGACAGATCCCCAAGTCAACAAAACGAGACAAATGTATTGGGTCAGTTGGCTTTTGTTAGAAAGAACAGCCCGTTGGTGATTGAGGCGACTTTTGAATTCAAAAAACAGATCAGATATTCAGCCCGCTCGTTCTTAAAACAAGAGAGTCGAAGCAAAGGAAAATACTTAAGATGGATAGGCGGATGTACGTGGCTTAGTCATGGAATATTCAGATAGCATCTAAAATGTACGCAGCACTGGATCTTCCGGGAGCAAAGAAATGGTAGACTCACCTTGATGTTGACATGCTGATACCGAGTATCCACTTTGAATTCCAAGCACTTTCCATCATGCCAGTCCCATAGAGCCATTTCCCTTTGGGCAAACAAAAAACAGCGCGAAGCAGATAAATTTCTAGCTGTACCACGGATGATGAAGAAGGTTATGGAATTCGATGGGAGCTGTGGGTAATGGTCCCAGGGACACCGTATAATGAGGAAATTCGAACATAGTCTCTACTGCCCTTCCCAAGATATTGAACATTGTAGGCAGCGTGCAAGGATTATCAAACTAAATGACCACCTTTTGGTCGAATTCTCGTCATCAAACTGTCATTAGAAGAACATACCACTATTCCAACAAATCAGTTAACATATGGCAAGGATGCTAGGCAATCTGAACCGAGCGCCTACATCCGCTAACAGTGCGTTACATAAGATTCAAACCAGCAGAGAGCGGCGTTGGCCAGAACAGCAGTGTGCGAATCTAGTACCCAGTTCTCCGATACCTGAGCAACTTGTTACATTTATAGCTCTCATGCTCGCGAGAAGCTTTCCGCAAACTATAAATAAATAAAATCGTTCAGCCTATAGCACCCTTTCGGTACCTAACTGCCATGCCACACGAAGGAGGTACGAGGGCTGGGATACTGCCAGGTCGCCCAAGCCTAGACACGGGAAATCAAGAGGTAGAGGTCGGGTTCGAACCACGGACCTTCCGGGCAGTAAATTCGCGCTATAACCACTTGGTCCATCTCGTCCCTGGCTTACGGCAACTATACAATTACGACCACAACAGCAGCGGATATAGAGTCGTGCCCTTCACTGATTAGCCAATGCAAAACTGAGTCAACCGTCGGTCAAGCAGTGTCAGAGACACAACACTATGTGCAACAAAACTTGATGCTGTATCCAGACATTTTACCGTAATTTGCTCAAGGGAAGTGGAAAAAAGATTCCGATATGAGTAGTGACCGAGATATACACAGCCCCTTCTCTTTTAAGGAAACTCTGATGGGAAGTGCTGAAACTGACCCTAAATGAAATACACCCCTTAATCGGATGGGACAACCGGAAGTACGCATCCTGTGACCCACTCGAAAACTGGCTCCATCCCCACAGAATTCAGTCTATTAAATGCCCACAAGGTAAAACGAAGCCGTTCACGATAGAGTCAACACTACGGAATCTGTCTAATAAGGTTTCCCATGCTGCACGCATTTTCAACTTTTCATCGTGCACGACTCCACAGGCTTCTCTAAGACCAGATGAACTGTGCCTTGGCGTTTGATCTATCCCTCCAGAGGTTTATTCGAAACAGATAGAGCCGGATTTGACTTACGGATCGTCCAGATTAGGTGTCGATTGGAACAAAGAGCACTGTTGTTTCATCCAAATGGCACGGTAGTTAGGCACCGAAAGGGTGCTATAGCTGAATGATTAGGTTATTAGACTGTTGTTTCCAACGGCGAAAGCCTTTCGTATCTCCCCGGCTTTCACTGTCTGACACCTCTCGCAGTTCTTCGTACGTTTCATCAAAATCCGGCGTTTGAATAATTTGTCAACACGTTAGATTATACCGCATTCCTGGTATCCAGTAAAACCCCTGGATTTTCGTTCCCAATCTCTTGTGTGTGAGGTGGAGAGAATATAATATGGCACAAAGGGGTGTTAGAAAAAGCCTGGATGCAGTTTGCCTTCCAGAATGGGGCCCAGGTAACCCTCCTTGCGCTTGTCCGCAGACATTGAAATATATGGCGACTAACCAATGTAATTCTTGCCAGTCTTCATCAATTATAATGGAGTGCAAATTCTCGGCAAGAATTGATTGCTTGCCAATTGGACATAGAGTATCGAAGTGAAAAACCACTATGTAAAAAGAACCTCGTGGGTTTTGCAAATTCTGTTCATTGGTGATGGGAAGCGAGGTCTATAAGGCACACCGGTCAGATAATTGATAGTCATATGGCCCAGCAACGTTTGCTAATGTGGTGGGGAGGGGTTAGAAGTAAAATCTGTAGGCGTTCAGCTGTAGCACCCGTCCGGTGCCTAGCTGCCATGCCACCCGCGGGAAGCACGAGGGCTGGGATATTGCCAGGTTGCCCAAGCCTAGACAGGGGAAGTCGAGTGGCGGAAGTCGAATTCGAACCACAGACCTTCCGGTAAGTAAATTCTTTATTTAACCACTTGGGTCATCTGTAGACAAAGAAATGTGTGGGCAAACAATATTTTTCGCTATCCTAGGCCAAATGCGGTTCCGTTGGGATGCCCCAAATTGAGTCTTTGACTCAAAAGCCCGACGCACAAGACAGTAGATGTAGGGTTTTCTTCGAAGAACATTGCCCTAACCTCTAACTCAAGAGTCCGGACCGCCAGGCACTGTTTGTCAGGTTTTCTTGAGGGAATCTTCCCAGAGCCAATGACAAGTCTGACGGACATCACTTGACCTAGTGATTCTCTACACACATGAGCTGTTCTCGGGCACCAACCAACCATTTGCCGTCAGTTACCCGTAACACAAAGCACACTTGCGGGAACCGACGTCGAAAAAACATCTCCCAATGTAGAACCCTGTTGTGACAGTTTCTAACACACCACAAAAGACCAGGAAAAGTGCATAGCAAAGGACGGGATGACTTTGGTCAGTTCATGTTTGCAAGTTCTATCCCCTCTATTCTATTCACACGGGGATGCTTGGCGATTTCCACCATCATCATCATCATCATCAACGACAGCATGACATCAGTGTTCAACACCAATGCTTCACTGCCGTACAACCATGACTTATTTGAAAGCCTT